AGCAGGAATCACAGAGGGTAGGAAGCCTTTCTGATAACACAGGCTCTGCGCATTATGATAAAATGAGTAAGAGCATCAAAGACTATCCAGAAATATGGGAAAGAACCCCTTGGGGTAAATATCACGCAACAGATTATAGGAGCAAAGACCCAGGAAACTCAAGCAATCTCTAGCAAATCCAGGCTGCAGTTCTGAAGATGCCAGAGGAAAACACAACTCAAGTTTTGGGGTTAGGCAGAAGACTTTCTTCTAAGAAAGAAGCTTAGGATGATTGCGCTGTAGGTTTGATACCATTTTATGGAATAAAAATGGCAATCGCCCACAGCTAAGCCCTTGCAAACCAATAAGCTTGGAACCATAGCTGAGAACATCTGTGCAATGCCTTACTCTTTCAACGCTGTAAATGCCTGACAACCGGTGCTCTTCCAGATACCTTAGGATCCCAATTCCCATCAACTCTGATCAACTGGGTGAAAAAGAGGTCATCCAGGAACACAGTGGCATGTGGTGACTTCCACATCAACGTCTTGTTGCTCTGTGCCTTCAAGTTATTTCTGACTTATGGCGACCATAAGATGAAGCTGTCACAGGGTTTTATGAGGCTGAGAGTGTGTGATTTGCTTAAAGTCACCCAGTGGGTTTCCATGGCCAAGCAAGGATTTTAGCCCCGTTTTCCTCGTGTCCTTGCCCAATGTTCAAACCACAAGGCCATGCTGGCTCCTACTGGGCAGTGAATCCATTCCAATTCTTACCCTAAACCAGCTGGCTGCGGCTTATGGGAATTCAAGTTCAAGACATTATGAGGACTAAAGTTTGGGAACTGCTGCAATAAACTTTAAAAGAGCTGTCCAAGGTGCTAAACTTGTTTTATTGGCTAGGGCAGTGATTCCCAAACTTTGGCGCTTCAAATTTTTTGGATTTCAACTCCCAGAAGTCCCAGACAGCTTAACCAACAGTCAGGAATTCTGGGAGCTGAAGTCCAAAATGTCTGCAGGATCAAAGTTTGGGAACTGTTGGGCTAGGGCAATAGGTTCACTACCCCACTGACATGCAAAACATCAGCCCATACTGGACTAGGCTGAGAAATGGAAAAGACCACTGTACCCTACAGCTCCTTTTGGCATCCAAAAAAAAAAAAAAGTCTCAGGGCTCAATACATCCGCCTGATTACAAACATATCTCCTCTCAGGCGTTTGATGCAGCTCAGAGAGCTCTCTAGAGAGAACTGGGAAGCTAAGGAAATGATTTTGCTTAATGTTCCTTTACTCTAAAGATTTGGCTTTCTGTTCTATTGTTTGGTACGGATGGATGTTTCAATGGCACTGCATGTCACAATGCCATCTTCAAATCCCTGGGCTAAATCCCCTCTTTATTCCAGATTTCATTGCAACCAGAGCTTTGCAAAAAGAATCTACCCTCCACTTTTACTACACTTCCTTAATACCCATGCAAGGCTGTTTTGCAGCAACTGATCCTTCCAGATTTCCCAGACTGCAAACCTCCAGGAGTGGCAATTCCTCTTTGTAGAAAGGCTACAAACCTCTCTGAGAGCCAGCATGGTGTAGTGGTTTGAGCACTGGACCAGGACTCTGGGGAAGAGGGTTCAAATCCCCACTTGCCCATGGAAACCCATGGGTTGACCTTGAGCAAGTCACAGTCTCTCAGCCTCAGAGGATGGCAATGGCAAACCTCCCCTGAAGAAACTAGCCAAGAAAATCCTGTGATAGGGTTGTCTTAGGGTTGCCATAAGTTAGAAACAACTTGAAGGCAAACAGCACCACAGAGCCCAACAGATGTAAGATGGGTCTTGATTCATCAGGTGAAACTGTCATGCATCGTTCCCAAGACCCAGATTCAGACTATAGCACAGACAGTGAAGCAGAGGGACAGGGCTTTATGCCTAGTTTCTAGGACCAGACTTAGGGGGGTTGCAGACTATCAGAAATAGTGCAAATTGAGTCCACTTTAAGGGTTAGGGTTAGGGTTAGGGGATCATGGGAACTGTATTTTATTGTGGCATCAGAGCTCTCTGACAGAGAAGGCTCATTGTCTCAGAAAAAAACAAATTCCCATGATTCCTAGCTCTAACCCTAACCCTAAAAGTGGACTCAATTTGCACTATTTCTGGCAGTCTGCAACCCCCATTAGATTAACAAAGACAGGGAAACAGGAGGAAAGGGGGACATGCCAGTGCTTTGAGACAGACAGTGATACTCCCCAGCAACCCCAGCACACATGTTGGCGATATTGCATGGGCATGGCAGTATCTACCACAAGAACGATAGATGATAGAGGAAGGGTTTGCATCATCCAGAGCATTTATGCAGGAAATGCTCATCAATCAAGCAACAGCTGCAGGAGGCTGTCAGACCATAAATATTCCAGCAACTCCCTCGGTTACTCATTGCTGACAACCGACCATTCTGGAAGAAGCAACACATTTGCCTCTTGATTCCTGGCTTGTGTTTCCAAAGGACCTGAAACCCTGCATCGCAAGCTGACCATGCTACTGGACACTCCCTTGGATGTATTACATCTTGGATTTATTGCCGCACCATACTGACTTGGACTGCCTGGACTCTGAAAACTGTATACACCTAGCTGGTAAGCTCCTATACATAACTTGGACTGCTTCTGTCTCATCCCTGATGGACATTGTTTGGTACTTTGCCCCTGGCTGGCCTCCAAGACAGGGCAAAAACAGTGGTGGCTAGTAGCTCCCAGGTCAGTAAGGCAGTGGATCCACCCCACATTTTGAAATGCTGAAAAAGGATACATCCAAGGTGGTGAATTTATAATCGAGGCACAGGTTCAGCACCTTGGACAGCTCCTTTAAAATCTGCATTAAAATCCTGAGTGAATTCCCTGCCTTATCAACATGGAAGCCATGAGATGCTGCTGGGAAGCAATCTACAAAAACCAAGTATCAAACCTCCTAATATTGATACACAAAACTGAGAGGTTCTGTGATGCCAAGCGGGAGCAATTGGCACCTGTGTCACCACCTGTCGCAGCTTAAGAGTCGGGAGCAAAGAGCCAGAGAGAGGAAAATCTTGGCAATAAGTCTAGCCAGTGACCTGGGACAACAGCCTTCACTGTATTTTGGAAAGCTACAAACGATGAAGCCTTTGGATTAGCTCAGGTTGGAGTAAATAGCTCAGGAAGCCTAACCTTCTGAGGAATCAACTGCGTATTACTGTTGTGGTTGCAACATGTATAATGTGCATTTTGGTTGGCCCAATAAAGGTATCACTATTTTGTGGAGTTTGGATGATGCTGTACTTTGTTGTGGTTGTTGTGGTTGTTTTTCCCAATACCAAGACCCAAAGCAGCTTGCAAATTAAAATTAACACAATATACTTTAAGAGGGCCAGTGTGACATAGTGGTTTGAGTGTTGGACTGCAAATCTGAAGACCAGGATTCAATTCCCTTCTTGGCCAAGGAACCCAAGGGTGACCTTGGCCAAGTCACACTCTCTCAGCCTCAGGGGACAGCAATGGCAAAGCCTCTTCTGAATAACTAATAATTGCTAAGAAAACCCCATATTTTCTTAGGGTCGCCATAAATTGGAAACAACTTGAAGGCACACAACCAAATATATTTTAAAATACACAAAAGATCAGCATTCCAGCAGAATTAATCAACAATACTAAAACAATTTCAAACATATGCCTTTAAATGATTAAAAGCACTTTTTAAAAAGTGCAAGTAAAACAGTACAACACCCTTCTAAAGGCCTTTTTGCTGAAAGTCTTCCATTCTAAAAGTCTGTCGGAATAAATTAGATTTTGCCAGCTGATGGAAGGATAGCAAGGAGGAGGCCATTCTTCCTAAGTAATGTTGGTGGAGATGCAAGACAGGGCCTTCTTGGTGGCTGCTCCTAGGCTTTGCAGCTTCCTTCCTAGGGAGCTAAGAAGGAAGTTCCAAAGCCTAGGAGCAGCCACCAAGAAGGCCCTGTCTTGCATCTCCACCAACATTACCTATGAAGACAGTGAGACTGAGAAAAGGTCATCTGCCGAATATTTTGGGTTTGGGGAAGCTCCCAATCTGAACCTAAGCCATACTGAGTTTTGCAGGTCATAACCAGAACTCTAAATCATGTCCATAAACAGACCAGATGCCAATAAATTTGTTTGTAGCTGAACCTCCTGACTGCCACATTTTCAGACCATTTCTCCAAATATTTTATCTCAGGCTCAGCATCTGTATGATGGTTAGCACAAACCATGGTTTGTTTTTAACCACTCAACCGTGGTTTGGCGTTATCTCTACAGGCTGGCCATAGGTGAGACAACAGTAAAATTTAACAGTTGAGGCTTATGACCCAAAATATACAAAGAAGGTTATTGAATAAAAGGTTCAGCAGACAACTGAGGGAAAAGGAAAAGTAGCCCTGCATTGTGTTCTCTTGTTCAGCATTTGATAGCTTCGATCAACTCTTTTACAAGTCTCTCCATTCTTGCAAAGGCAGCACAAAAGGACCATTTTCGCAATAAAGTATATTTAATAGGTGGCCCAGTGGGGATGCATTTGCCAATAAGTAGGGAAAAAAGTCACAGGGTTTGAGACATCACTTTTTTTTTTTAAGAAAAAGGAAAGCCGTGAGAGAATTATGAGCCAATTAAGATTTTGTTGTGTCATATTTTATCTTACTAAAAAGTTTGCACTTCAATGGTGTGATAAATAATGCAGGCAACTGACACTCTTTTTGTAAAAAGAAAAAGAAAAGAAATAATTATTATTATAACGCAGCATGGTGCAGAACAACACAGAGGGGCAGAAAAATTAAAACATATTTGGGCTAAAGGCTTTAAACAGAAAATATACTAATCCAAACTGAATAATACTGATCATGCGAAAAGGAACAGCAGAAAGGTGGACTAGGGGATGCTTCTACACTGCAGAAATAATCCAGTTTGATGCCACTTTACCTTCCATGGCTCAATGCTATGGAATTTGTAGCTTGATGGGACACTAGAGCTCTCTGGCAAGTCTAAATCTCTCACAATCTCCAGAATCCCATAGCATTAACCCATGGCAGTTAAAGTAGTGTCAAACTGGATTATTTCTGCAGTGTGGACGCAGCATAAGAAGTAGATTGGGTATGAGTAACCATTGAGCAAAAGCAGAAATGATGAGATGTCCACTTCTAGTGCTGCGTTTCTTTTAAATATTCAACAGTGCAGAGAACCTGCAAGTTTTAATTTTAAATGTGAATGGCTCCAAGGAAAGGCAATTTGGGGACCCAGATAAAGGGTTATTTGGGGAGCCTAGAAGTCTCAAGGACCACATCTGATGTAGACTTGTGGTTTGCTGTGCAGTGTGTAAATGCATAAATTAAACTTCTTGCTGGAGATTCAGGGATGCAAGGAATACTATCTGTCCACCCAGATCCTGGATCAAAGATAAATCACATCCAACTTCACAATCACGGAGTTATGTCTCAGTTGCACTACATCGCCTTATTGCGATATTGCAACATAGCCCAACCCAACGCACATCACGTGTTGATGCACAATGCACAGCCATACACAACCATGCAACCAATAAGCCCTGCACGACAATGTGCAATGCACAATTCACAAGGACATGCAATGCTTAGGATGCCAGATGCAACAACATCACATGCAAAACTCCTTTTTCCTATCCTTCAACTGAATACAGATGTAACAATGCATTGGCCCAAAACATTATGCAACCACATGCAATGCAACAACTTATGCGCTTATTTAAGTCACCAATGGGATGCAGAAAGAAGAAACTGAGAGGGAGGGAAAGGGAGCAAGCACTGATGGATTTGTTTTTTAAAACCTAATTAAAAAGATATAAATTATATACCCACAGCCGCTCAATAGGTGATTAAACAACAGAAAAAGAGCACAGGCCAGGGCATCCGTTATCTTTTATCCTCCAGGACACCTTTTCCCATCACCGGTCCAAGCGCATATGTCTTCGTCAAACTGTCTCAAACAGGTCAAAAGAGCTACAAAGGTGCTGCTGATGCTGATGCTTACTGCTACAACTATCACCACCATCATCCACAGAGAAAGAGGGTGGGAAGCAATGAAGATGCCTGTCTCCAATGTCAATGGAAGGGCGTCAATCCATTGTGGGATTTAGCCTGAAGCTATCCACATTTATGGCCTACAAAATATCCTAAAAGCACCAGATCCCATCTGATCTTGGAAGCTAAGCAGGATCAGCTACGGTTAGTACTAAGATGGGAGACCGCCCCCTAATACCTGGTGCTTTAGGCTCTATTTCAGAGAAAGGAATTGGCAAAACCACTTCTGAGTATCCTTTGCTTAAGAAAACCCTATGAAATTGATGGGGTCATCATAAGTCAATGAGACACTTTAAGGCACAGACACCCATACACACAACAGTAACTATACTTGTGACCAGGACCCAAGAGAAACCTCAAATCTTTTTCCCAGATACATCCTGGGGTCGCCATAAGTCCTAAGGCAATTTGAAGGCAAGCATACACACATATATATCAGTATTCTTCACCTGTGTTATCGATTGGCACCTGATGTTTGTAGCTTGGTTTTTTGTATTCAGTGGAAGTATGGGTACCTCTTCCAAAAAATCTTATTTTGCATAGTTAGGGATGTAAATATTCAGCTATGTCATTCTTGCATGCAACAATTAATAATTTCCACAATCCCCCATCCCCTTTCAGGACAGTTTCTCTTAGTATTGGTACATCTCTGTTTTTGGAAATTATTAACACATGTGGGTTGTTGGGGTTTTTTGCACAAAACATCCACTGTTCCCAGTAAAATTTATTTTTCTGTGCAAAGTTTTTCAAGCAAATATATATATATATATATATATATATATATATATATACACACACACACACACACACACAAAATCTATGTGTATTTCTGTGCAAAAACACTTTGAAATGTGGAATACTGGGTAAAAATTACACAAATATTCTCCGTTTTATTTTACTTATTTTCCTGACCAATCTTCCAGAGTATCAAGATACTCATTTTTCAAATGGGAAGTGAAGACCAACAATTCCTATGTAGACTTCTCCGTTTTGTTTGCATTCCTGGCCTTATACGTTCAATATTAAAACAAAACAAATCTGTAAGAGCCTCGGATACCATCAAGACACCACCGTGTAAACATCTCAGACATATTTTGCAAACATCCATCCATAAAAGAGAACCATTTCCAATCTGTAAGGGTCTATAGCCTGCCATATATTTTAATTACGCACATCAATACATAAACACACTTCCTGAAGCCATCAGGGGAAAAAAGAGAAGGGGGAAAAGACCTCAAGAAAGCACTTCAGGATGTTGTTAAAATTAATCCCTTGGCAGAGGAAGGGGGAAAAACACACAACTTTAAAACAGTCGCACTGTAAAGCGATCGCCCGAAGCAGGTTGCTGGAGTTTTGAGGGTCCGTTCCTGCAAGCCTTGCTATCAAGAGAGCAACTGACGGGCCTGAAATAATTAAGAGGAGAAAACTCAATTACCCAGCAAAGGAAAAGATCAGAAAATTGCCATCCTGAGCTAAATAGGAAAGGAAGAGGGCGGTCAGGAGCATCAACATTAGCACTACCTTGGAAATATAGATTATATTACATCGCTAGCCAGGAGGCAAAATAAAGGCCCTGCCCTCCTCCAAATAGGAATTCTGCTGCCTCAAAGGAAATTTTCCTTTAGACCCCAAATTTTTTACCTGGCAGTAACTTAAACCTTCAGCTGAGTCTTTAGAAATAGAGTCTACTAGGCTCTCAAAGAAAAAGGCCAAGCAAAGCAACCAAGGAAATGCAAACACAGCAAATAGATTTTTGACATCTTGCTCTCTGCAATGTTAGAAATTTGGGAATCCGAGTAAAAAAAATAATAATAATCAGGGGAGGGGATTGTTCTTACGGAGGGTAATGCCCCATTTGGTCCCCTTCCCCATAGATACACCCATGTATACAAGGTGACACAGGATCATGTGTGTGTTGTGTGTGCCCTCAAGTTGCCTGTTGACTTATGGAGACTCCATGAATTTCATGGGATTTTCTTAGGCAAGAAATGCTCAGATTTGGCCAGTTCCTCTGAAATAATGCTTACAACACTCGGTACTGGTGATCTCCCATGCAAGTACTAACCAGCACTGACCCTGCTTAGCTTCCAAGATCAAATGGAATCTGGAGCCTTTAGAATATTTAGAGCCCACATATATTATATTGTGTGTGTCTGCACTTCAAGTCGCCCCTTGATTTCCCCCCATTATGGAGATTTATGCAGTCAGCTTTGGAAAGGAGAGGGCCATCTTAAGTGTAATTTCTCTGCAGAGATTTCCAGGACAGGATTCTTCCAAGATGGATAAGCCATGTCTCTCATGATGGCTCAAGATTATTATATTCTTCTGCAAACAGAAAACACAGCCAATGACCATGCCACAAGAGGTGGCACAGAA